TTACTATTAGTATTACGATTTACTTTAGATACATAGGTATTAGATTGTAAGTACAGTCATACAACATTCCTACATGGTACATTCAAAACAAACTAAACAAAACAATACAAATTAAATACATTTAACGATATACCTAATACAAATAAAACATATTAGTTATAATACTATTATTATAGGTATAGAATATATTAAATTAATAATTTAATAATTAATTAATTAATTAATAATTTAATTAATAATTAATAATTTTGAAATTAATTTTAGCTTAAATATAGCAGAATTTCAAAACGTTTATCTATATATATAAAAATGGAGACAAAAAATTCGAAATTGCATCAGTTGAGAACGGCTGGGCCGATTTTGCTCAAATTTTTTTAAGATGTTCGTAATTGCCAGGTGAAGGTTTTTACGAAAGAAAATTTTTAAAAAGTCAACCGAATAATTAGAAAAACTGCAAAAACTATTTATTGATGTCTGGGATTTGAACTAGATACCGTTGTCTTTATTTACTCTATGGTGTATTATATTATATTGGTTGCTATTGGTTAATCGGGCATGTTTGTTGATGTGTATTATTATTTTTTGTAAATATATCTTATATATAAATGAATGACGGTGTGTAGATTAGACCTATGGGAAGAAGATACACTAATTTAAAAAGGGTTAAATTTGGTTTTTTTATTCATCGGATTTTAGTACGGCTATGTTAGGTTAGGATTTATAGGTAGGTGGAATTAAGTAAAAACGTCAAACTTGGTATAACTTTGGTACTTTTTGAGTTAAATCATACACTTACGTACAAACAGCACGGGGTCCGCGATCTACCGCAGGTAAATTACCTATCTGATAATGTACTGCTGCAATTCAGAATTTTTATTCCGGGCAACAGAAAAGTTAAGATAAATCTAGAACATCATACACCGAATATTAAATAACGCATTGAACAATGTTTGAGTCATATAGAGTTGGTACATTTAACGGGAAACGAAGGGCACGGGATCAGCTAGTTTTAAATAAAATAGAAGCAATGATATAATTTTATAGTTTTAAGAGGCTATAAATATTTAACTGATTTTTTATTCTGGCCTTATAGATTTAAGTTCTTTGAAATTATCTGTTTACTCGTTTGAGATCATATGATATTATTTTATGTTTAATTATTTTAATATTTATTTTTGTAATTTTCAATAGGTAATTGTTTCGTCGAATCCTGTTTTTTGGTCAACAGTAACTATTTCCTGAATCATGTCAAACATCGTTAAATGTTCTCCAGGTAAGTAGTTTTCTAAAAAATTTTCACAAATTATATGAAAACTATTTCTTTTAACTACTTAGGTAGGTGTCTAAAGTAGATACTAGATACTGTGTACACCAGTTCTTTATTTCTCGAGTATTTAAATTTGCAATACAAAAGTATTTGAACATATTATATAGGTAGTAGGTAGGTACCATTATATTTTCTATTGTACACATGTGTATAATTTGATTTTAAATTTAATTCATTACTTATTCAGAGTATCGTATTATGCGATAACTATATGTATACAATTTAAATATTATTAATTAATTGTGTGGTATTTATGTTAGCTAAGAATTACTTTTAAATATAAATTGTAGATGATTTTCAACATAATGAAGTCGCAATAGTATGTGATAATGGTTCTCATTCACTGAAAGCTGGTTTTTCCAATGAAAATTTTCCACGATCAATAATTCCAACTATCGTCGGAAGACCTAAACATGAAAAAGTATGTAATGTTTTTGTAATATAAATAGCATAATAGCATAAATAGCACATATCTGATATATATATGTGTGTATTATTCTACGCAATGAACTGCGTACAACACTACCATCGGCTTTTTATAATAATTTTTTATGATTTCACTTTCTAGAGATGTTTTGAAATGCAACTCTGGTGATTTTTTGCTTAAGGTTGTTTTGTAGTACTAAAATTGATGTCGATAAATGTATTATTGGAAGATAATTAAGTTTAATTAAGTTATATTAAAACGTATTAACATGTATCACGTATTCACGTTTGACATACATAGGTAGTTAATTTTTTAAAAAACTATTTTATAAAATTTACATTGCCTACAGGATTTTGAGTAGAGTATATTTTCCCCCGGCGAGGTATCATAAAATATTGCATGAAGCTTTATAACTATTATTTTCGCATTGCCCAGATTGATCGGGAATTTTTCACATATTTCCTACATTAAACTTTATAAATGGTCTGAATTCTAATACAATTATTTAAAAGAAAAATAATAATTACCAATTTAAAATAATATGTCATCGATTTTAATTTTAAATAAGAAAACCAATACTTTGCTTCTATATTAAAATTATTTAATCATATTCATCCATTTAATATTAAATTATGGTTCTTTTCAGATAAGTACCATACCAGAATATGGAGAAAAATTTGTATTTACCGGTGAGTCTGCTATAAGAAATTTGGACATTTTGGATACGATTTGTCCGATACGAAATAGCATCATTTCTGACTGGGATGCTATGGAACAAATGTGGTACCACATGTATTACGAAGACTTGTTTGTTCCACCAGAAAACTATAACATTTTACATTCAGAAGTAGATATGAATTTAAAATCGTCAATTGAAAAATTGTTTGAGGTTAATAATTTTATAAATACGTAAAACTACTCATATTTTATTATGTTAAAACTTAAAAGGGTGCATCAACGTAAGATATTATTTCAGTTAAATGTTGATCCTTAAAAAAATCCTCTCCACTCAGAATCTAAAATATAGTTTGAGGTACTTGTAAGTCATATCCATTGTAGATAATACTACATTTCTAAAAAAATCTTATGTTTTGTTTTTTTTCTTGGATGATCAAAATAATAAATCCATTTCCCGCAAAAGAAAAATAATATTTCGATATATTTGGAAAAAAAAAATTTACTAATTTGTTTTCCATTAGATTATGTTTGAATTATTCAACGTACCAAAGACATCGGTGGTACCCAAGTCGGTACTTGCTTTATATAGCAGTGGTAGGACTACTGGCTTGATGGTAGATTCTGGGTACGACTACACACAAGTCTTGCCTATTGTCGAAGGAAATCCATTGCAAGATGCCGTACAAACAATGCCAGTTGGTGGATGGCATATAACACAATATTTGATAGAATCATTGAATAAACGCGGATACAGTTTTAACCCTACGAAAGATTTCGAAACTATAAACAATATAAAAGAAAAATTGTGCTATTTTGCTTTGAACTTCAATTTTGAAAGAGATATGTATACCAAAAACCAAGAAAAACAATATATACTGCCAGATGGAATGGTGATCAATGTCGAAACCGAAGCGTTAGTATTTTATTCAATAAAAACGGGCAATTAAGGGTTAGAGTAACCTGGGGTATTATGGCGCATGGGGAAAAATGAACTATTGTGTATAAGTAATTTAATAATTGCTATCTGGTTAAACATTTTTGTTATTATGATTATGTTATCATAGCCAAACCTGATAAAACATTTTTTTCAGCAATTGATGATGTTTTGGCGGCAATATGAGGTAAAATATTAATTGTATTCGTCTTAAATTTTAAATTAAATTTAAATTTTAAATCTTTAAAATTAAATTTTGACCTGAAAATTGAAATCTACGTAATATTTATGATGGGAAAACAATATTACAATATTTCTAAAACTTGTATGCTACCACATACCAGCTGTTAAATGTTAGGTGCGCCATTATACCCCAGGTTACTCTAACATTGTATAAATAATATGTTGAGGACCAAAAAAAAAAAGGTAATCATGAATAAAATAGATAATAATAAAGTATTATAATAGTATAATAATAATATAATAATAATAGTATTATAATACTATAGAGTCTATAATGGCTATTTTATAACTATAATTATATTTATAAACATTTATAATATTATGTATTATGTACAGTTCGCTAGATAATACGATTGTCGATTATTATAAGACTTATTCATTTCACAATAAATATAACATATATATAGGTATATTATCTATATTATAATAATATATGACTTACCTAGTTTATTATAAATATACAATATGTTACATTATAAGAAAATAATCATTGGTTTATTTATTCAAGTATAAACTATTATAGATTTCAATCACCTGAAATCTTGTTTGATCCTCTTTTATTCAACATCGAATCGAAGCTAGGAGGTATCCACAACTTGATACACAGAGCATGCAGTGCTGTCGATTATGAAGAACAAAAATATATGTACAACAACATCATATTGGCTGGTGGTAATACGATGTTTCAATTTCTACCTATTCGTTTGGAGAAAATGGTAGCTGACTTAGTAACATCTTCTACCAGCATTCAAATCAAAGCGGATCCCGGACGTAAATTTGCCACATGGCTTGGTGGTGCCGTATTAGCTTCGATGCCCAGCTATCAGGTATTGTGGATCAGCAAGGAAATGTACGAAGAAAAAGGGCCTGCAGCTATACACGAAAAAAGCTTTGTAATTTGATTGATGTTAATCTATTATAATTTATGATAATCCTAAACGTCCATAAATTTACTAGCTTTCTAACAGTTATTTAAAAATTGAAAGATCGTTAATATTGATGATTATAACAATTTTCTTTTTACAAACATTGTCGTTATATTGTTACCTATTCCGTACTATACAGTATACACTCAGTATGAATATACTAAGTTCAAAATATAATACCCGACTTTCTAGTCTACGTACACATAGAGGTGCTATATATACCTACAGCTGTACAGCATGTATAATATTATAAATCTTTAACATATATAGGTACCTGGTTAGTGGTTATAATATCTACTATACAATTTATTTATGAACACAATGTAATGATGATTTATAATGCAAAACAATTAAATTTGCGTAGAAATTAAAATTGAGACCAATCAGAAGTTTCAATCGGTACCTATACAGGTGCAAGCCGAGACCGACCACAGAATGCTGATATGCGGCCCGGAGACTTAGGTCTTAAGCAAGCTCGCAGAGACATTTTAGGTTATTTGTTGTAGATAAATTCTTCATCGGCGAAACTGATTGATCTGGCAAATTCGATAGTCCGTTATTGAATCCTGTCAGAGGAACACGTTGATGTACCCTAGTACTCTCGGTCGTCTGTCGTCGGCGCCTCCTGTATGACGGGTAGGCAACCGATCGTGTACTACTCGGTTTAGGTTTCCAAGCGGGCGTACGACGTGCCGGGTGTTGAATGTTGATCATGGACCGCTGGTGGCACTTATCGCCTTAAAGTAGTTGTGTAGCATTCAGTATTCACCGAGTCCGATTGCCGTTTGCCACTCGAGATGGCTGCAGCACTGTACTACAACTGTTGTAGTGTCAGTAACCGCCAGCCGGTTACTAGCCATGTAACGATATCTACGAATCCGAGTGGTTGTTGAATTGAGCGTAACCGTTTTCCGCAAAAAAAAATTAATATCAGTTATATCCTGCCATATTATTATATAAATAATTTAGGACAAATGAGAAATGAAGAATACCTACATTCAAAATCACATTCATGGGCATTTAACTGGGTTCGAGTTTGTTAAACAAATCTATTTAAATATTCTATGAGTTAAAATATGTCGGATTTTTCGTACTTTTTATGAAGTTTTAATTTTTACAATTGAATGTATTATTTGAACGAGAAACTTGTGATGTTTCTAATTATTAATATTAATATTTATACTGTTTATACCTACTAGTCGTTTAATTTTATATGTATTTAATAATTTAATATGATCAATATCTGTCGTCTGTGATACAAGGTGAGGCGCGTACATCGTAATTCGTAATCATTACTAATTGAAGGATAAGGTTCAGAGGTTCTCAAAAATATCTCAAATAATGTAATAATTGTGTTTGGTGAAAAACGGAAACCCCTGTTCAATTTGGCCATTTTAGGAGTGAATAATAAAAATACAGCGATGGATATCACTAACCGAAATCAAACAAAATGAGGATGAAAATACAAAAAACAAATTTGTTTTGGAAGATGCTATTAAAGATACTAAAGCCAGCGACAAATATAGTGGTGGGGGGTTAGGTGTTCAAACCCCTCCCGGGTTCCACATAAGTATATGTGTGTAGAATTATTATTATTGGTTATACTATCGGGAATCCTGACTAGGGATCTCTGAATCCAGTTTACGCGCCAGTGTCATACAGAGAACAGCTGATTGTAATGATTATACATCATTATAATATGGAAATTGCCGTTATCGGTACCCAACTTTCTATTTTTCATCATTTAGTTAGCCTTCAATATATATATTAACATATTGTTTTGTTATTATTCTTATATCCTTGTTAAAAAATAAATGGATCTAGTGGATAATTTTATCAACTATATTTTGAAAATCTTAACGTTCTATTCTATTCATAATTCATTTGGTGAAATAGAAAAATGCATGAAAACCAAAAATATGTCTATTGATCAAGTGATAGAAGAACAGAAATAGAAAAATATATGTAAATAATGTATATTAGAAAATATACGACACTATAATATAAAATTATCTATTGAAAATAAAATTATTTTTCGAAATATTTAAAGAGACCAGTATATTTTTGTAATGTTAAAATATGTATCCCAAATGGTGGAACAGTTTATATTATACTGTAGATTTAAAATCTGCAGTTTCTATTCACCCTGTTTTATCTAGCCATTTTAAATTTAAATTAGTATATAATTTATTGTTAAAAAATAAGTAACAATAAAATTGGTATCGTCAATGACAGTCAAAATTAAACTTCCAATTTTTAGTTTTTTAAATCTGCAGCTAGATAATATTTTAAGTGGCGAGCGTATACATTTTAAAGAGGTAGGGGGATAGGGGGTCATTGGAAAACAATCTAATTTACGTACAAAAATAAGATGTCATTACTCATTATAAACATATTTAAAACACCCTAATTTCTAAGTCCTAGTAACACACTTATATGTATGCTCTTATATAATGTAATCAATAATCATACAAATGCCCTATGGATTGGATTGTTGAGTTTCTATAACAATAATCAGTAATTACACAGTAAGCAAAATATAAAACAGGTACCTATAAATGTTTAATATACTTTATTTCAAAATGTTAAACTAAAAAAGTCTATGACTGGATTTGACTTACAAATGTCCCGTGTGTACGCCTCTGAGTGCTTTCAATTTTTATAAACCTATTGTTAATAGTAATCGAAGTAGAATAAGTACATGTATTGAAAGTCAAATTCTACAATTAGATGGTCAAACAAGGTGAAAATAAGACTCACAACTTTTCACTCGTAAAATACAAATTATGTTACCAAATTAACTTATGGCAGGGAATGTCTCGCAGATTTTTTAATTATATTTCTAATTTTGTTACAAAAAATATGGGCCTATAAAATGTACTTGTGCATGCTGGTGGATAAATTGAAAACTATTATAAAACAAATAAAAATTATTGCATTCAATTTCAACGATTAGTGTGCTATTCATTATTAATTATTACTAGGGCTAGGGGAAAAACCTTAAAATATGCATGCATTTATGCCCTTAAATCCATCAAAAATTCTCTAAAAATATGCAAAAATGCTAAAATATGCTCTTAAAAATATTTTACTTTTCATTAAAAACCAAAAATTTAAAAGTTTATTTATTACTTTATTAGTTTAGTAGTTTAGTAATTTACTATTATAAATTATTACTATTTATTACTTTAATTTCTTCTTCTTAAAACTTGCCTTTAAAGTTTAAACAAAACAAAAAGAAACAAAAAATTCAATTATAAATTAATATTGTGTTGATATTTTAATAATTTTTAAAATCCTACCCAAATGAATTGCATTGTGTGTCTAATATTTTTTATATATTTTCAAATGTAAATGAGCGCCGATTGTTCGCTAATAAACTTTTGTACCTCAAAAACAAACGCTCGACATCAACAGATGCTATTAGAGCGAATTTATAGTATTTTAAGTCGGTGACCTCTAATAGTCTTCAAGATTTTCCATCGAATTGACTATTCCTTCTAATATATTAGAAATAATTTTAAATCCTTCATTTTTGACAGTACGTTTATTAATTTTTTATAAATTGCTTTTCCCTTATCTCGTTGTAGATTTTTTAATTTTTCTATGACAGTTTTTATGACTGAAATACTCAGATAACATCATGTTTTGTTTTTCCAAACGTGTAATACATGAAAACTATAGTTGAAAGAAATAAATGCTAAGCCTCCTTTCAAATGTGGGTTGTTAAACATTTCTTTAGCTTTTTCGATGCTGTTTATGTCCTTTGTCATACAACTTTATTATTATAACATATAATTTATAAATAAAATATGAAATAATGTGAACTATGCACTTAAAGTACAAATATAACAAAATATGCTCTTAAAGAGAAAAAAGCTGAATATGCAAAATATGCAAAAAAAAAATTATTGCTTTTAACTCTTAGTACTATGAAACAAATTTCTATATTACTTAGCTATGTTTTGAATGATTATTGAGAAACATACAAACTCCTATAAGTCCCTAGCCCTAATTATTACCTATTAACCCTATTGGGTTGGTATTGGTTATTAAAATGCGAAAACTGAAAACTATACAACGTCATGTTATAATATTACTCTGTATACTTTAAAAATATAAGTTGCTTTCATTCATTGAAAACTCAATAGATTTCTAGATTGTTTTTTTTCTTCATATAATAAATAAATAACTCAAAAACAAATTTTGAGCGTCTTTTAAATTTTTTTTATATATCATGGTAAAATAAAGGCTGCTATTAGTCATATATTGTATAATATACGTATGTATATAATATACATTGGAAAAAAACAGCTTATTTCAAACTAGAACTTAGAAGTACTGACTTTCCAATTAAGAGAATGTCAGCGCACCATTTTTTTTTTGCTCTCTGGTACACCCTCGACATACCAAATTGAAGTTTAGCAAAACCAAATCTAAGTCATTACCAGGAGCGGACTGGCTGGGGGGCTTCATGTGTTTGGGCGAATTACCTTTTTACCAACATAAAAACAGTACCTAATATGTTTGGGCGAGTTTCTTATAAGGTGTTTGAGCTAGTATGATACAATATAAAATATAAAAAGCTGGTAAGTGTATGTCGCTCTGATGTACAGTAGGTTGCAAGTGGGTGATTGTATAATGGATTGTATTAAACTTGAATTCAATGACATAATATCATTGTATAAGAAAAACGATTCTGAGCGGAGACGGTTTGTCAGTCTGGATATTTTATATTTTTATTATTTATTATATGATGTAAGTTGAATTAATATTATAATATTATAATTTTTTATTCGTTTCTATAGTGATAGTTTATTGATAAGCAAAGCGTTAGAAATTAAAATCCCATTTTTAGCGGTTTTTCGTAATTTTTCGGTGGTTTTTCCCGTGGCATTAAATAACTATTGATAAAATCGAAAAATGACCTCTTTAAAGTACCATCTTTATCCAATTTGCTAAAAGATAAGGTACTATATGTTAAAATTGAAGCAGTCCTTCTGGTAGAAATTTTGTATACAGGATATAAAAATAAAAAAAAGGTGGGCAAGTGGGTGTCGCTCTGCTGTACAGTAGGTTACAAGTGGGTCACTGTATAATGGATGGTATTAAATTTGAATTCAATGATATAATATCATTGTATAAGAAAAACGATTCTGAGCGGTGACGGTATGTCAGTCTATGTATAAGACATATTATATACATATCTATGGTATATTGGTATTAAACAAAAAATTGACCTATTATAGGTACCTATAATAAATTACAAACTAATCATATCACAATATCCATTAGATACTTATAACGCGTTATACATCAACAAAAACCGTGATACTATCATAGATATATAATAGTACACTTTAGAAGTTTCAAGTACCCACGAATAATATTATTCAATCAAAACAAAATAACTAAAATCGTAATTCTTGGTTTAAATATGAAATTTTGTCTAAATTTGAAATTCAAATGTCTGTAAAAAATAAGTGTGTTTATATATTTTTTAGATTTTTGGTTACAGTATGAATTATTTAAGAGAATCTTTGTTTTTAATTTTCAACTCTTAGTTATAAAAACTGAACATTTTATAATTTTTAATTCCAACGATTGATAATTTTCGAGATTTTGATAAATTTTGTCAAAATTCCAAATTTAAATGCTTATAAAAAAAAAATCGTGCCTATGTATTTTTAATATTTTTCAACTGCTATTGTAAC